GGTGGATTTTTTTTTTTGAGAGGTTTTTGCTATAGGGTGCATGCACTTGCCAGAAAGACAGAGAGATGGAGAGACAGAAAGTGAGAAGTCACTCCCCAGGGAAGATGGCCACATCACAATCCCTTCTCCTCCATTCTCCTCTCGGGATCTTGGGCACACATGCACACACACCTGGTGTGACTTTAAGCCACCAGGTCTGGAACTCGAACCGCAGTCGACTACATGGGAGTCCAGTGACATAGCCACTAAGCCAACTGCTGGTCCCAAAGAGGTGGATTTTTTTTTTTTAAAGAAAGAACAATAAGTAAAATTCAAAGTGAAGGCATATAATCTTATAAAGGGAACAATTTTCTAAGCATAACACAAAGGCAAAAAACTGAAAGAAAAATACAAATGAATTATAAAGTTTAAAGATCTAAAGCTTCTATTCTTCAAAATTTTTCATAAATAAAATTAAAAAGGAAGGATACAGAACATATTTGATAAAGAGCTCGATATAAGTAAATATAAAGAGCTCTTTAAAAATAACCCCCCAAAAAAGGGCCAGCAGGTGGTGTAATGGTTAAGATGCTGGACTAAGATGCTGGACTCCCACACAGTTGACTATGGTTCGAGTCTCAGACTGGTGGCTTGAAACACTCACACTGGGCACATGTGTATGCATGCCCAACACCCCAAAAGGAGAATGGAGGAGAAGGGATTGCGGCGTGACCATCCCCCCTGGGGGGTGATTTCTCACTTTCTGTCTCTCTGTCTCTCCAGTGAATGCATGTGCCCTATAGCAAAAATATCTAAAAAGCAAAGTGCACACTTGAGTATGTCTTAAAGTGGAGAAAGAATATGAGCAGTCACATGAAAATTATTTCACTAATAAAAGATGTAAAATAGCTGACCTCAGAAGTAGTCAAAGAAATCCAAAATAAGCAGAAGAGTCCATTTTTAGTATTGATGTTTTACATATTTCAAGCAATACCTATATACTTTTTGTTTTAAAACAAAGCAAAACAAAAACAATCATCTTTCACTGCAAGAATCAATAACAAGGGTAGTGCCAGTCCAAGGTTGAGCAGGCTATTGCTGGAAGGTGTCCTCATAAAAATGTTTTTGTGCAAGTTTGCGCTGGCCTCTAGGCAAGCTTGTATTCTTGGCATTCTTTTGTAATACTGTTACCAGGCAGTTGTGTGTGAGGGCCATCTCTTTATGGCCTTCTCCCAGCTCCATTTGGTCCGGGTTTGACAGAAGTGACTCCATTTTTATTTTGACAACTTTCACAATACATTACTCAAACAATTACTCTAAATCAGTAATGAAATTTTGTTCATAATATTATATTAAGTAAGAAAAGAAGATAAGAATGGACTAATACTCTAAGAACTCAATTATGAAAAACTGTCATATACATGTAAAAAAATCTGAGACAGAATATGACAAATTAACATAGTAGATTATAGTAAGGAGAATATGAGTGCTTTTATTTCTGATACTTTCATAGAATTAGCTACCAAAAATATAAATTTTAACACAAATTACATTTCTCACAAAACACTATTTTCTTATAGTAAGTTTGATTATTCTTATTTTAAAATTGGAGTTATGACCCTGCCACAGTGGCACAGCAGTAACAGAATGCTCCATGATGCTGTGACCATGTAATAAGGTCCCAAGTTCATGTCATGAGGTCCCTGTGCCTGTGATCCTGGTTGGCTGAGGTTAAAGCTAAGTCATGAGGGAACCAGCAGTTAGCGTAATGGCTGTGTCGCTGGACTCCCACGTAGTCGACCGCAGTTCGCGTCTCGGACCCGGTGGCTTAAATCTCACGCCAGGCGCGTGTGCGTGCGTGCCCAAGATCCCCAGAGGAGAATGGAGGAGAAGGGATTGCGGCGTGACCATCCCCCCTGGGGGGTGATTTCTCGCTTTCTGTCTCTATGTCTCTGTCTGTCTGGCGAGCGCACGCGCCCTATAGCGAAAACCTCTCCAAAAAAAAAAAAAAGCTAAGTCATGAAATAAAGACCCTGTTGGGAAGTGCCTCTCTCTCTCTCTCAGGAAAAAAAAAAAGAAACTTTTTAAAAATTTAGTTCTGTCTTAAAGTTCAAATTTATTTTAATTCACATCGTCATAACCCAAATCAGTTATCCAAATTAAAAAATAAAAATAAAATAACACTCTACAAGTCTCACTGTACTCTTGATTTTTTTCCTAAAAGAACATATAAGAATCTAAGCTGGGACCAGTAAATTGTGTAGTGGTTACATCACTGGACTCCTATATTGCCGACCACAGTTCAAGTTCAAGACCCAGTGGCTTTAAAATCACACCAGTTGCGTGTGCATGCATGCCCAAGATCCCAGGAGGAGAACAAGGAAGGGATTGTGGCTTGCCCATCCCCCAGGGGGGTGATTTCTCACTTTCCCTCTCACTGTGTCTGTCTCTCTCTCTCTCTGGCAAATGCATACACCCTAAGGCAAAAACCTCTTTTAAAAAATCTAAGCTATGGGGCCAGAGAGTAGCTCAGGACTAAAACATGACCATCTATGAGGCAACCTCATCTGGGAAGGTTCCTGGTTTCAAGTCTAGAGACCTCCCTGGGTACATGTGGGGTACATTCTTACCATGACCCAAGACTGACTGAAGGCTGGGTGTAGTTGCAGCGTTGGAACCTTTTGGGGGGTGCTGTCTCTCTCTCTGTTCCTCTCTCTCTCTCTCTCTGCCTCTCTGTCTCTCTACCTTGCTCATGAAATAAATTAATAAACAAACAAAAAAGAATCTAAGTTAAAGGGTGGAAGTACCCTGACCTTGATCCGCCCCTGCTATGGACTGGGAAATCATTGGTGCTGTCTGAATCTGTGCTATCTGTTGATATCTATTACAAAACATAATGGAGGTAAGGGGTAGTATGAGTGCTAGTCTCACCTTAGGGTCAGGAGAACTTCATTACAACTTAGTTCCTTACCTTGGATCATTAGAGTGGGGCAGCAAACTAAAGACACCATTCAAGGACACTGGCAAATTATCTCTGCCCTCTGGAGACTTTTTGCTACCATATTTGTAGGGATAAAACACAAACTGGAATGTAACACCTGTGTTTGTGACGAGGGTTAGGGAAGATCTTTATACCTCTCCTGCCCACCAGTCTTCCATGTTTCTCTAAAGGGAATTGGGAAAGCCAAGAAGGCCTGGACTGGGATTCCAGGAGTGAGGAAGGAAGGTACTCTCAGGGCCACCAGCCTACCTTCCAAGACCTCCTGAATGCTAAATCTGTCAGATGGAAATGAAGGTGTGAATAGAGCCAGTGGTGGGAAAGTGACTTCCAGCCTAGAACAGAAGAGGACACAGGCACAATACTGAGAATAATTTGCTCCATAGACCAGTGACTTCAGCACATGGAGTGCAACCATCATCAGCGGGTGGGTGGTGATGCCACACACCCTTGTGGAACTGCCATCGCATGTAAATACTGATGCAAACCTCCTAATAAATGCCTTTACACTTCTAAGTGGGTCATTCTTCAATGTTAAAAGATGAGATCTATATAAGAAATGAAGGGACCAGCATGCATTATGTGACAAGGATGATTCAGTGAGAGAATGGAAGTATTCTATGAGCTGAAAAGGACTATGCAAAAAATATCATTAGCCACTTGACTTCAGTTTATATGAATTCTTATCAGCTCTAGTGAAAAATGAGATGTATATTCAGCAGAAGGACCACAGGCTTCTGAGCCAAGTGTTCTACTTTTGGGTTTTACTGACAGCATGATTCTAGGCAGATCACTTAGATGTGCTGGGTGTCATATTCCCCATCTGTAAAGTGGCAATATAATGCTATCATATTTTTTTTTTGAGAGAGATTTTTGCCATAAGATACATGTGCTTTCCAGAGACAGAGAGAGAGAGAGAGAAAGTGAGAATTCATCCCCAGGGCAAATGACCAAGCTGCAATCCCTCCTCCATTCTCCTCTTGGGATTCTGGGCATGCACGCACACGCACCTGGTGTGAGTTTCAAGCACCCAGGTCCAGGACTCGTACCACAGTTGGCCACGTGGAAGTCCAGTGCCTTAACCACTATGACATCTGCTGGCCCCTTATAATACTATTGTTTAGGATTATTGTGTCAGTGTTGAGTTGTTGGGAAAGTCATGATGCATTTTTGCATAGATAACAGAAAAATACATTATGACTTGCCCAGTGACCTAATGAATAATACACAACATCTTGATAGAACACTGGACTCATATATTATGTGTTGAATATATGCTAAGCTTAGCCCACCTCCACCACGACCACACTCACCACCTCCACCCCCTCTACCACTCTTATGAGTTATGTACTTACTTTCTCAGTTTGAGTAGAAAGGATGAGGAAAGATGTCACTAAACTATGTCTTAAAATCTCTTGGAAAGAGGATTCAGATTTAGATGAGGTTCTGAGTTTCATCGAAGTCATTTCCCTCAGACATTCTTACTTTGCCATTTATTTTTTAGTTCAAGTTTCAGATATTTATTAACCAGTGTAAATCTCAATGCATCAAGATGATTTCATGCATTTAAAGGAGAAATATTTCTTGGTTAAGTGCAAAATGGGAATGGTTTCTAAAGACCTTCATTATAAGTGGCTTTACAGTGAAACATTTCATTTGTAAGTCTGGACTTTCAGGACCAGCAGATGGTAAGTTGGTTACATCACTGGACTCCCACATGGTCACCATGGTTTGAAGCAGAGATTTGAAACACACACCAGGCTTGTGAGTGTGCCCAAAATCCTGAGAGGAGAATGGTGGAGAAGGGATTATAATGTGGCCATCTCCCTTCAGGGGGTGATTTCTCGCTGTCTCTCTGTCTCTCTCTTCTCTCTGGCAAGTGCACACACCCTCTGGGAAAAAATCTCTCTTAAAAAAAAAGTCTGGACGTGCTTATTTCAGTTTGCTGTAATTCACACTCACTAAGTATTGATTGTCAGGATCCAGTTTATTCCAGGGTTCAGATTTCTTCTTTCTGTCCCAGCAGGTGTCTGGACTGAACACTGCCAACTTACGTGATACAGTGGTGCTCCAGTACCCCCAGCTCTAATAAATACAAACGAGAGAATCACACTTAGATGCTTCTTGGTCTGACTCAAGATCTACCAGAGTGTGTTTGTGGTGGAGGACTCCAGTCCAGGAGCAGAGAAGAATTCATCTGCCAGGCCAGAGACAAAGTAGACTTTGTAATGAGATAATGCAGACACCCAAGGTCATACTGACCTCTATATGACATCACCATTGAAATATATACTAGGAATATCACATTGAATATGTCCAGAATGAAATGTTTGATCTTCCCTCTAAACCTGCTTCTCCAAGAGCCTTTTCATCGCCATTAATAACAACCTCATTCTTCAGGTCACTCAGGCCAAAATGCTCAAAGTTGTCCTAGACCCCTCTCTTTCTCTCACACCATATCTTACTCTGTCGGCAAATCCTGTAGGCTTGACCTCAAAATACATTCACAATCTAATCTTATGAAATCAGCTTCATAGCTGTCACCTGACGTAGGCTACCAAAGTCTTATTCAGCAACTACTTAATAGTCTCCTGATTAATCTCCCCATCTTTTTATTAAGAATTATTTTTATTTCAACTTTATTTGTTATTATTATTTTCCAATTTGATCAGAGAGACAGAGTGAGTGAGAGATAGGGAAAGTGAAAAAGCAAGCCACAAGGTCCAGGGCTTGAACCATGATCAACCATGTGAGTCCAGTGCCTTTAACCACCAGGTTACCTGCTAGCCCCTAATCTCCTCACCTTGACTCTCACCATCCAGAGAAGCGAGTGCAGCCACATAATGCCACTCCTCTGTCCACATTTCACTGAGGGCTTCCCAACTCACTCAGCAAAAGCATTTGCCTTTGTGCCCTCCCACATTTCCTGTCTCATCTCTTCTCCCTTCTACTTCTCCTTTTTGCTTTATCTATATGTGATATACCACACTTTTATATTCCTCAAACAGGTTGGCCATGAATAGTCCCAGAGCCTTTGGACTGGCTCCTCCCTCTGCTTGCTTTCACTGAAATATCACCAAAGCTTACTTTCTTGCTTCCTTCTAGTTTTTGCTTAATTAGCTCCCTAACAATGAGGTCTACCTGATATTTAAGTTTTATCTACTCTTTCTGACTAACGGCTCTGCTTAACATTCTTCTGGTTATTATTGCCTTTTAGTATACTATATCTGTTGCAGAAAAACAAACAAGGAATGGAAATGGCACTCAGGAGAGAAAGGAGAAGTCTTTATTATGCCAGTGGGCACAGAGGAGTTAACACTCTGAATCTCCAGCCCCAGCTGGGGATTGAACATGGTCTTTTATGAAGGAATTGGGGAGCGGAGGTCTTGGGACATTAGGGATGGGAAAGGGGCTCAAAACCTGCCCTAAAATGGAGGTGACAGAAAAGCAGGAAGTCTAACCTATTCAAGGTTTCAGGTTGTAGCTCTGGGGAGGGGCAGTAAGTTTGGCAGAGGGCAAAAACCTCAGCCCTAAGTTACTCATGAATTCAGTCTCTCCCATATCACTCCCCCGACTTGAGCCTCCTCAACTATACTCAGGGAGGGTCAATTAACAGGAGGGTGGTAAACATAGCTTTCCTGGTCGAGCAGTTGATACTTGATGGCTTCAAGGCAGGAGGTTATGAATCCCTTAATCAGATTAAGGGCACAAGGTCCAACTGCCAGTGCTAAAAGAATAACTGCTAGGGGTCCCAAGAGAGGCAGTAGCCATGGGGTCCATGTCCAGAGCCCATTCCAACCTGCCCAGGAGTCAGTTGTCACTTGTTGCTATTTGGAGACCAAATCTTTAAGCTGTTTAGCCATGTCTCAGACCACATCCAATTTGTTGGCATAGAAGCAACATTCCTCTTCTGGAAATAAACAGAGTCCATCCTTTTTGGCAGCCAGGAGAGCTACTCCCCTCTGGTTCTGTAGGACCACATCAGCCAAGGAGTCTAGCTGGACTTGTAGAGTCTCAATAATATTCACTACCTGTTGGAATCCATCTGCCAAGGCAGTGGACAGCTGCTGGTAGTAAGCATCGGAGGATGCCATCCCTCCAATCCCAGTCCCAACCCCAGCAGCAATCCCCAGCCCCACTAGGAGGGAAATCAATTTTATTGCTCTCCAAACTCTAGCATGTAAAACCAGGGGGACACTGACAGTCTCATTTCCCTGTAGAATGTCTACTTGGGGGGTAAGAATTGCCCAGGTACAGGTCCCAAACCTGTTTCCTGGAAGACACTGGTAAGCATAGGGCCCGCATACAAGGTACGAGGAAAAACTGTGGTCCCATTTTCTGGATATGTACTGTGGCAGGTCATATTACCTGTTTAAATGGAACCTTGATTTGTAAAACAGCCCTGGGGCTTGGAGGAGAGGTGTACCTGGTAGACTTGTCCCTCCTGTACAGAGGTCTGCTTTTTCTGAAATATCACCAAAGCTTACTTTCTTGATTGACAAGTGGGGTGTCATTTGTAGGGTAGGCCAGGATGGCACATATGCAGGGAAGAGCTCTTCAGATGCAAAGCCAACAGCTGATGCCAACTAGGGTTGTGCCTGATACAGGAGAGCATGGGTCATATTAATGAGCATAATTACTCTCTGGTAGAGATTGGGGATCTTCCGAGGTGTAGGGATCCTCAACTGAACTCAGGGAGCCTGAGGCTTAAGCCTCTGTACTGCATCCTGGATGGCAGTATGAACCTCTGTAAGACATTTACCTCCTCCTTCTAGGGGCCCATATTGTCTAAGACTTGTGTAGTGGACCCATTCCCCTGTGAGGAGACAATTGTAACGATCATGGCTCCTTCTGCTCTTACCCACAGCCCTGCCCCTGCCCCTGCCCCTGCCCCTGGTGCATGAAGGCCAGCTGGCTCGGGAACTACAGGAGGACTATGGGATTGTAAATCCTGGGCAGGTGGGCTATCATTGGTAGGTAGGTGCCCAGTCACAGTCAGACGGTGGCTTGCTGGATAGTTTGATTGCACCATTTGAGACAAGAGGAGTAGGTGCCTGTCAGTTTGGGTAAATGAGCAAGGGCTAGGGTCAAGAGTACCATTAAAGCAAAAATGGTATTAGGAACAGAACCCCAATGAAAATGCCTCCAAGTAGTTAACCCAGGCATCTTAGGCTTGTCAAGGTTCCTACTACCAGGAGGTATAATATTGTGAGCAAAAGCCTCTCCCACAATTTCCAGCCCCTTGGGGCCACTGCTGCCAGACCAATGGAGAGAAGCACAGTCAGCACTATGGGAAGGGCTAAGAGTAGGAAATTGTAAGGGTATGATGGGTGGTGATGACACCATATGATGGATGGTGTCATCCATCGCTATTCTTAAGCTTCTGTTATGCATAGATTGGTCAGCATCCGGAGTGACCAAAGAAGGCTGTAGACTCCTCAAGTTTCCACCGTGCATAGAGAAGCCAGTCCAGGAGTGGCTGCAGCAGGGCTGCAGTCTCAATGGCAGGTTTTGGTCCTCTGGAAGGTTATTTTAGTTGGCTGCCCAGGGTGGTTTTTCATCATCCAGGTCCCAGGGCCCTCTGGTGCTGTGGTGGATCCACAGGGCTAGCCTTGCAACCTTAACTTGTTTTTGTGGTCTACATCAAACTCAGAGCAGGGCCAGTGGGAGGACATCCACTCAGGGGCATCCAGTGTCTTGACAGAGCTTAGCCTTTTCAGCAAAACCTGGGATCCAAATTCTTCAGAATCCTGCAGCTCCCAGGAATTCACATAGTTGCTTCCAGGTTGTGGGCTGAGGCAATCCACATACCACCTGCTTTCATTCGTGCCCAAGAGCATGGTGTCCTTTAGTCAAAATGAATCCTAATAATTATACCTGGGTATGGCAGAATTGGGCTTTCTTCATTGAGACTTTGGACCTGGCCAGGATAGAAGCTGGAGCAACTCTCAAGTTCCATTCCAGCAATTTTCTCAGGTCACTCCAGCAAGCAGAAGGTCATTAACATATTGGAGTAGAGTGCACCCAGTCTCTCGGCTTGGAAAATTTTCCAAGTCAGCAGCAAGCACTTCTCCAAACAAAGTCAGGGAATTCTTGAACCCTTAGGAGACCTGAGTCCATGAGAATTGAGTTTTCTTTTGGGTTTCTGGATCTCCCCATTCAAAGGCAAATATCAGTTGGCTGACGGCTGCTAGTAGGAGGCAAAAGAAAGCATCCTTGAGATTCAGGCAATTGTACCATTCAGACTCTGCAGGGAGAGCACTTCCTAAAGTATATGGAATGGGTACAGTGGCATGTATGGACACCATAGTGGTGTTCACAGCTCCCAAGTCCTGGACTGGCTGATAGCCTCCAGTGGTTCTCTTCTTCACAGGGAGAAAGGGAGTGTCCCAGGGAGACTGACACTTGACCAGGATTCCAGCTTCCCTGAACCAATGTGCTTCTTTATGGCCAGTCTAGCATCTCAGCTTATCAGGTACTGTCGAAGGTGCACCAGCTGTGCCAGAGGTGTCAGCTCAACGACTACAGGTGGGTGGTTAATGGCCCGGCTTTCGTTCCCTACAGGAGTGCCTCTCGATGCTTGCTTAGATGGGTGCAGCCACCCTCAGTATTGAAATCCCTTTTCATTTGGGCTTTTTTCATTTGGAAAAGCAGTTTTGGCCCAAGCCTTGAGATCTATCACATCGTTGGGGGCTTGCTGTTGGAGTCATTTCTTTGCTGCTCCAAGGACTCTGCAGTGCTCCTCTGTGTTAAGTAGGGTGAGGAGTAGTTGCTGACAGTCGTCCCGGGTGGGCTGGTGGGTTTTGAGTATAGACTCCATGAGATCTATCATTTCCTGGGGCTGTTCTGAGTAGTAAGGGTGTGGTATTTCCAATTAAGCAAATCAGTAGTGGTGAAAGGCTGGTGGTAGAGAGTTGCTCTGCCTTCCATAATAACCCCATCTGCAACTATCTGGGAGGGGGGTCTTTGGGTCTCCTGAAGGGGCATCTGAAGAGGGAGGTTGCCCCAGACTGCAGTGGCTTGCCAGGTGATGTCAGGTGAGGCACAATCTGGGCACAGGATTTGGGACAGCAGATGGCCTCCCCCCTGAGCTGGTGGAGCTGGCACTGGCTCATCAGGCCCCAGGGAAATGGGACATATGGGGGTGGAGCTACTAATGGATCCTCTTCTGGGGAGCCCTGCAGGGTTGGAGCCATGGGTTTCTTTGGGTCAGAGTTTGGCACTGGGGGCAATGATACATGTGGCCATAATAGTACATTGTTTTTGCCCTCTTATGCAGATCCACGCCCAGGGCAGAAT